AATGAAACTAGGGAAACAAATAACTAGGGAAAATCGAAGCAGCTTCACTTTTTACAAGATCGTCGTCTGGGTGGAACAGTACGAAATCTTCTTGATAATTTGAACGTTAGATCAACTATACATTTTCGTGAATAGATCCTAAACGATAGAATCATTATGTTTTCCAAATTTAACCAAGTTTAAGCATCAATTACCATAAATCGATTTGTGTATGACACTTGAACAATAATATTTTTGTATCCGAAGTACTACATAAATAACATTTTTCATTAAATGTTAGTTGCTGAACGTATTAAAGAAATTGGAAAAATGTCGTTATTGGAATAGAATCATTTATTTGGGTTATTGGGTTATTGGATATCTGATCTTTTTTCAATAAATTTACTTACTTTTACACGGCAGGTATCTACCCCCTCCTACTATGATATGAAATTGTTCGGCAATACGTACTAATCGACTATGTTATAGGCTTTCCAAGCGATGCCAGATATGTCTAGCAATTATTTTGCTATGTGAATTCTGTTTTCCTGTTGAAATTTATTAGACGACGGGTATAATCACGAATATCTATTTAGTACGGAATCGATTAATTCCATCGATTGAAATAAATAAATTGACAAAGCATTTATCATTACTACAATTACTCGATAAGGCACGTGTATTTTTTTAATATGGAAATTATTATACTTGTCATGGTTGATAAAATTTTCGTAAAATATATTATGCTGTTAAAATGTGTGATATAAAAATTGTGAAATAAAGATAATTTCCACATTTCAAGCTTTTTTTATTTTATCACTGTGTGAAGAAACTAATAGTATTTCCCCTACCGTTTAAAAGTCTGGATCTTTCGTAGTAAAACTATAGTCTATTAGGTAGTTGGTTAATAGATTCTTTCGTTAAATTATAAAAGCTGCATACTTTCGACTAGTAGCCGAAATGTGTAGAGGAAAAAATTGTTCTTTTTTTTTTTAGACAGCGATAGATGAAAAAAGCTTAAATTGTAGAAATTATGTTTATCTCAATTTTTTTTAGAGAGCATCAATTTAAAGTTGCAGGAATTGACTTTACATCCGTTGCGTGCCTGTCTGCCATATATATTGCACTGTGGCGTGAGTCAGCTTTATCCTGTATTATTTTTACGATAGACTTCTATTGCTTGGGGCTCTCAGTTAGATCTCGCCACCACGTTAGTTCCAATTGGATTTTCCTCGTACTACATAGCCAGTTAGATTTTTATTGCACTAAAATTTGAATTGGATTTTTCTTGCACTTCGAAGCAAGTCAAATTGTTATTGCATTGATGTTTGGATTTGTATGGAATTCATGATTAGGCTAATTGTCGCTAGTTTCGTAGATGGAACTGCTCTGTTGAAAATCGTCTATCACAATTTCGGTACAACGAAAGAAAAATTTTTTTATCATCGAATTGAGGCGCTTGCAGCACATTTGGTGAGTTCTCTCATCCTAAAAATTTAAATTTTCAGATGATTTTTTACCCATGCAATCGTTTGTCTTTTAAATTATCTATGAAAAAAGTAATGTTAAATCACTTTTTTTTTTAAAGAAAGAGGTATATTCTTCACGAAAATAAAATCAAGACTGAAGATTACATGAGTTTTCGAATCCACGTTCGAAAATTAAATTACCTACGCTGGACTGGTTAACCCATACGAACGTGTTTTGGCGATGTATACAAAAACCTTGGAATTGTTATTCGAAACTCATGTGGTTCTTTATAATGGTTTCAAAATTCCTTACTCGCTTTTGTCAATAAACTCAACGTGATACTTCTTTGTCGAATACGTAAATGTAGGCCCTTGTCATCAGATGAACACCGATTTATCTGCGGCATAATAGACTATAAAAAATACGGTATAACAGACTAATAGAAATTTAATACTAAAGGTATAATAGACGAGAAAGAAAAACGAACTGATTTCTCCCGTAAAATTAAATTTGATTGGCAATTGGTTTTATCTGATGGAATATTTCGTTCTGCTATTCATAAATATCAAACTGCTGGTATGGATTTTTTAAGTCTTAATTATTATTTTGATCCGTTTGTAAACTGAAAAATATCAAAGTAAAATCCGTGATTCTTCTATACTTTAATATGTTTTTACTTAATCTTGCGAAATCTCATATCTTTACGGATCTTAGTCAGGAAAAAATTAAATTCTCATAATTAAATATCAAATACTTAATTTCTATATCTTAATGTATATCGATTTATTTTTCTGAAAAATTATATACTTTAGAATTTTTTCATTTATGAAATTTTTTCAGTATCTAATGCTTCTGTATTTCATGCCAAATGTTTCATTATTTTCTGAGATGCAATTCTATGAATTAAAATATTTGAAAAAAATTATCTTAAAAATTACTGTATATTTTATGATCAATAAAATAATAATGAGATTTTTTTCATTTTTAATAGATATATTTCAACATTCTTTTTTTATTGTTTGCAAATTAAATGGTTTTACGACAAAATAACTGTAATAATTTAAAAGTTCTATTATACTGAAACGTTTACCATCGTATTTCACATAACTAATTCATACACCTCCGGAATGCCAATTTTAACCATTTGCGCTGGAAACGACATGATTCAAATATAAATTTAATTCTGCTTAATGTATTTTTTGTACTCAGGATATCACGTAGTGCCAGAAATCTCAGACAAGAAATACAAATCCATTTACATAGAGTTCACATTACCCTGATGTTAAGACAAGGAAAATCATTATCTGAATCTGATTTCTTTCAATGCTATTGGTGCCACCTGGCCTCATTTTTTCTGTACAAATACCTGGCTAAGATTATTTTGGCTACCAGTATAAGCGCAGTGAGAGTCACGATCAAGTATACCGACACTGACGACATGTTTAGTTCTTTTCGTAATTACGTTGCTATTGACACATTGCTCATGAGTGTACGACGAATGACAAAGTTGGTCCTTTGCAAGTGAATTCTAAGTACTGTTTTTTTTTACAATTTACAATATTGTACATAGTATCACACAATATAAACTTCTATAATGATCGAGCACAAATATTAGTAAAAAAATATAAAAAATATCTGAAATTGAAGTTGATTCTGTGAGTGAAATTATCATTGGAAGGTTCGGAGCAGTAACAATGCACAATAAAGTCTTCGTATGTGGCAAAAGAAGCGAAGAATTGGTTAACAAATAAATATCAGATGTATAAACTATACGACTTTCTTGATCCTATTCGTAGCACCCACTATACCTTTTCTCACCTGTTACGTTTGATTAATAATGATATCCTGTTAAGTTCGATAAAGCTGGTTCTAATCAATATATAGAAAAGAGAAAAATAAACTCAAATTTCAAATTTATGCATCGGAGAATGATAATAGGAACAAATTTCATAGCAGAGCTTTCTAAATTCATTGAACTATTCAAAATCTGCTACAATTAATGAGTTCTAATCTAGCTTGATGGATTTTTAAATAAAACATGAAAGTTTAGATAAAAAAATTTTTTAGAGATAGCTCAACTCGTACCTGTCAAACTATTATTTTATTAATAATGTTTTATTCTCCATTCTTAGTATTTCGATAATGTTACGGAAACCACTAATAATTATAGTAACATACTCTGTATTATCGCTAACTAATAAAATAATGCTTTGCAGTTATTTTCTCTCTCTTCTCTTATCTCTTGCAAGCTATAAATTTGTTTCATAAAACATTTTTCAGTCAGTTCACTTATAAAATAGCAAAAAGCTCATGCATTTACGAAATGAAACACAAATAATCTTTATCGCTACTACAGTGAACTTAATCATGGTACTATTAATAATCAGAATACTATCGGTACCATTATCAAATCTCGGCCAAGAGCAACATTTCAACACCCACAATCTATACAGTATAATCTTCAATTCATACTTGATTACATTCTCTTATAAATGAACTAATAATCAAACTCACCAAACTATTTCTCATTCAACTGACTCAAATGTCATTCTCTGTCAGATAGTCTTGGATGCCAACAAGAATATCTTGGGCAATGTAACCCATGAAATTATTTTAAAGAAAAAGAATCTTTCTCCGGAGTGAATGGAATTTTATATTCGCCGAATGTATAAAGCAAACTTTACAGTTTTATTGATCGATGCATTGCAATGTGTTGACAAATCAATACCAAGCATCGTTGACGAACTGTCTTGCTCATACCCAACCCAACCCGGCATATCGACCTACATTGTAGGTTCACGACAACGATAGTTCTGATATTTTCTTTGCAAATCAACAGACACGTTCACCATATCGATTCAATGAAGAAGGTAAAAAGTTCAATTTGCAACATCACTTGCAAGCAGACAGTGAAGCACCTAAATTTTGCAACAAGATACGATATCTCAAGTCAGTTCAAGGGTACATCTAGATCTATAACTTTTCCAGTAGAACGGTAGCGGTGAAGTTTCTGGATGAGGCTTTCAGCATGTACCAGTAGATTTAGACCGATAACTTCGTCAACGAACACATCGTCAGTTTAGTAAGTAAATTACGTCTTATTTTTGTATTGAAATCGAGCGAATTGATGATTGATCAATCAATATTTTTGCAGGGTCCAAAAAAATCTTACATCGGCATTATTCACAGCACAATGTTACCTACGTCTGAACAAACAGATTACTTATTGTTAAATTTGGACTTGTTCCTGATTTTCATAGCTGCTCTACCTTCACTGGACTACCACTTACCACAACACAATTCTTTCAATAAACTCATCTGGCGAATCCTTTGTATAAATAGTAACATCGCCATCATCAGTTTAAAATATTATCTCCAAAAAATTAATTATTTTGCAAAAATTTCAAGCTTACTTTTGTAATTGGAAACAGTAAAAATTCCATGACCTTTGTATTTCTCCGAATAGTCAATCTTATCTATTTCGCCGGACAAAAATCGTCAACATATCAGTATATAAAGCTAACGCGCAATCAGTGTAATGTGTACTAGACGGTTAATCGAGTTACGAACTTTAACAAACTTGTTTTTCATCACTGTAAAATAGAAATGTCGAAATCAATTACACTAGTGCTGATTTTAACAGTTTCACTGCTAATTTTACAATCTACGGCAGAAACGGAAGATTTGAAGCAATCGAAAACAGCGACTTCAAAAGAAATAGACTTGCAAACGCAAAAGCACTCAGATTCTGAATCAGACTCCCAGGAAAACAAGCATAGACATTCACACAATCACTCTCACCATTCGAATTCACGCAATCACCAATCAAGTGCTGAATCTCCGCGTCATCATGATCACACACACTCGAATTCACATCACAAATCGAACGGAGACGAGTCATCAAGAAATCGTTACGCACATAGACGCACAGACTCGCGTCACTCAAACTCAAACGAATCACACGAACAAAAAAATCAATAACTAGGATTCCTACGCTCAACAGTTCAATTCAAGAATAAAAAAGTCTACACTAATAAATAGAGCGTGAGTATTAGTATGCTTTCCCTCCCTTTCGTAACATGAAATATTGCATTCTATAACAATTTTGTCGAGGATTATTTAAAAAATAAACCATAAATCAGATGTCATGACAAATATTAACAAATATAGTTTGATTAACTTGTAAATATACTTATTAAATCGTACTTCTTAAAAAATGCTTGCATCAATTTTACCTGTAACAGAAAAAATAATCATAGTGAATATAATCGCGTTCCTGATAACGATGCAATAACTTAAAATTAGTGTGATCACCTAAACACTTTCATGTAATTACCGGAAGCGATAATACAGAATGAAAGCCAATACAGTTGATTAAAATGTACTAATAACATATTTCAATCAACAGGCTGATAACAACTATCGAAGCTAGCTAAAGTTAATTACTCTGCACGCAACTATGACTGAAAACTTATAACAGAATTCAACTCTCTATGCACGGTGAAACTACGACGTCCCTGATAGTTCGTGAAATTCATCGACAGACAGTTACCTTCATCCCCTTTGAATTAGGAAACTCTTGCATCACAATAAGAATGGTCGGGGCGTTTTGGAATTCAACCATGGACGACTTTGGGATATGTTATTCTAACTAATGTGTATCGATCGTGTCAAGGAATACAATATTGCACGATGTGTGTAGTCTGATAACGGGTAAACTTTGGGTTTTTTTAAACGATATATTCTATTTAATTTCGTGACAAAATTGTTATATAAAATATTCCTGTCATAAAGTCCATTTGTCTCTTTACTGTATTGATGTGTGCCATATATTTCTCTGTAGTAACATACCAATAAATTCATATAAGAACCAATGAAAATATGATATACTTTTTTTTAAATATGATTCTTCTTTAAATACTAAATACGTAAATTGACAGATATAGTACCAACTGTCTATTATTCAATCATTGGGTATCTTATTTGCATTGATAACGTTGCTTGAACTACTTATCAGCAAGTTTCTGTATATTCCACCGAAAAGTAACTCGTCACATTTGGACGAACTGATACTACGCAGAACACGTACAAAAATGTAAGTACGATGAACTAACTTTTGATAAAATTCTATCAAATCATTTCTCATTATTTTATTCAATTTCAGTTTTTGACAATGTTGAGATCAATAGCAATTCACTTTTTATTAGCAGTTATACTACTAGCAACACAAGTATCATCAAAACCAAGCAATACCAAAAAATTCCAGTTTCCAACACAATATCCATACGCAGTGGCAATAGATTCACGATTGTTCATAATATCGAAGAATCAAACGCACATCCGTATCGATTCAGATAAAAAAAACTACATACCATGCGAGGTTGCTGTGAACAAAACGGAATACGGCATTCCAGAAAGGATTAAAGCTACAGTACTCGGATCGAAGAAAATCGTCGTCTACGGAGTACATAACTCCAGTGAAAACCTAATGATCAAATCTGTGTTCCACACAGTTCTGATAATAGACCCACAACGTTGTGAATTGAAGAAATTGGAAGGTCTTATTCAAGATAAAGTACCGTTGTTTTTTCCAGTGACTTTAGCCGAGATTGTCGTTCGTAAAAACAATCAGTTTGATGTTTTTTATTTGGGCCCTAAAGAATGTGCACCGTGTCGCTTCGACGACGAAGGCAGGAAAATTCAGTTAAACCAACAGTACAAAGCTGATCGTACAACGCCAATGGAATTTCATGTGAAACCGCTTGAACAAAATGGCGGCTATGCTTATGCATTGAATTTAGAAAATGGTTCATCGGTATTGAAGGTGCTCGATCCAAATTTTACAGTGCTGAGTCAGTTTTCTATGAATAATTCGATCTTTGATGTATCTACAAGTTCAGTGAGTACTTTTTTTATAACAAAATTCTATAACTTTCATGTCTCTTTATTGATGCAATTAAAATCTTTTCTTTCGATCAACAGAGATCTGATAAAGTATTTATTGGTGTTACGTACAATATACCAGATTCTCCCTACGAATTCTTCTACACACTGTTCAACCATCATTTACAACCTATCTTTACAAATCGCTTAGAAGAAATCAATACCGATCATCTAGGATTGGATGCTCTGTCCAACATCGATTTAAAAGGCAATTCGATTATCAGCTTCCAGCAGATGTCGGAAGAAGAAGGTGATAGTATAATTACTGTCGTAAGTTATGATAGCAACGGCATAAAAATTAGCAACTCATCTCAAGAATTAATCAAGATCCCGGATGATGCGTTGTACGAAGCGCAGAGTTTGATGATTAATGATCACAAGTATTGCTTTGCACTTCACAAGGTTGATGAAACATTTGGAGAGACTACAATCCAATGCATAAATGTTAATAAGGGAACATGATATATAAAAAGAGGACTATTTAATATGAAATGGACATCATTGATTTGGTTTGTTTGGCTCTAAAATTATCATTTTACGCTGTTTAGTAAAACTGTATTACATGAAATTCTATCTATATTTAATTAAATTGAAGGCGGTAATCCCATATTAAAATAGTTCCCCGTTAGATAATAAATTGCGTGTAATCTTATCTATTTTCTTTGCGATAATGTACCCTTGCGTCCGCGCCCCCGATTTTCTCCACGCCCCCGCTCCAATCAGGGCCCAAAAATCCAGCGAGGAAAATCAGAAGAAACAAACGGACCAATTAACACATCATTGCCTGCTCCACTCCTCCCGAAACCGAGAGGCTGAGAGAGGGACTCATCACCCAACCACCCACCTGATATAAAAAGGGCTGCACAAGACCCAAAGGGCAGTTGTCAGTTGTCGTAGCGTCTGTGCAAAGCAGAGATTGAGTACCAGTAAGTGAGTGCTGAAGAAAGCACAAGGATCAGTTAACCAAGAAGTCAACCAAGAAGTAAAGCAGCCAAGAAGACAAATAGATCAAGAAAAGACTGAAGGAAGTACAAGAGACTAAACAAGAAGTGAGTGAAAGAGCTAAGTTATACAGCCTGAGATGAAAATAGTCTGATGATCGTCCACACTAAGTTCTCGCGAACTCAGTGCTAACTTTCGAAAAACTTAGCGAAATCGTCAGAAATTTCCAACACTGTTGGGATTAACCAGCGTAGTTTCGTAGAAAAAAACTTAGAAATTTCTTGGATAGTTATACGTGTTACTCAAGAAGATATTCTCAGGTCCCGTTCATCTCCCAGGATATTACTCCAAGGAGTTAGGCTCTGAATCTATCAAAGGAGGCATAGTACTCTCCATAATAAGACCAATCTTTGGGATTAACCTTAAATTTATTCTATTATCCTCCTATGCGTGGATAGACTCAGAGTGATATCTCTCATCGACGCAGGGAGCCGGTATTATTACAAAATCGCGGGCAATCAGTTTACGCAGGATCGCTCCTTACACACTGTTTTCGCAACTCCCAAAATCTTACATAAATTATTACAGCGAAACCGCTTACGCTATAAAAATACTTTTTATTTTTTTAAATTAATTTTTGAAAAACGCCAATTTTGATACTAATTACAATGTTGTACGATTTCTTTATACAAAGACAGTCATTTACAAGTCCATTTGTTAATATTATTTATAATATATTTATTTATAACATTTATATGAAAAAATAGTTTTTAAAAAATGGAAGTTAATGACTTTTTCGATTTTTAAATTTGAATAATAGAATTTGAATTATTAACAAATAACAAAATTTGCAACGTCTTTCAATTGTTTATATAAAATCGACTATTGTAATCATTGTTGAGATCAATTTTACTAGTATTCGCAGATGAGAAACTGTAATACTAAAATTCTATAAACATTAATTGTTTATAAAAATTATAATTTGTTTATTTGTTAATATCTTATGTTGATAGATGGCTATCAATGTGCAAGTTTTTGCTGTTCATCTTTGATGTGTTTTCAACGTATTTAAATTATTATAGTCGCAAATCAATTATTAATTGTAAATTTATTAACAAATTCGTGATTAACGTTAATTTTAGCCCATTTCCAACTGTTGAATTCGTTTGGAAATAGCAAATTCGTAATCTAGGCCTTTAAAATAATAAGAAAAATGCTTTTGCACTTCGCAAAAGCCCTTTGTTAATGTTTTGCGAAAATTCATTAAAATTCCTAGAAAAAATCTATTTGCTATGACGTCGCACTCCTTATATGGTCATAATTTCGAAAACACGTTCCCACACATTTACATATCGGTCAGGTAGCGCCGTTAGATTGATTTCAATCAATCTAATTTTCGGGTGTTCGCCTGGTTGCGGTGGTGCAGCGACAAAATAGAAAAATTTTATATCAAGGTATCAAGGTGAACCGTTACAAATTATTACTTTGGTGGGAATCATCTTTGTCGTCGACTCAAGAGGCAAATCATTGATTACCTTCGAATTTGAAAATTAATTAGAAAAAACCATAAAACACGGTATTCTAATCGACATCGACGGTCACGTTTCCGAGATTGACGTTGACGTGTTCCAATATGAATGTGATCATTACTGGATTTATCGAGTAGCATTATTGCTCGATGATTAGGAGTATTGTGCTGTTAACCACTTCATACCGAAAGGTGGGCATTGCTTTACTGAAATAAAGTTTCTTGGCATCAGTGAATTGTGACATTTGACTGTTCTTATTCAATATATCAGAAGATTCAGTTTTTCTAAGGATTTTTTAACTACCGTTTTTTATGCCACAAACTGAATTGTAATCGATAAAGTCTTAACTTGTATTTACTTATTCCATATCTTATTGTATAATATTCATCACTACTTGATCAAAACTATTGATATTCTATCGAATTTTTAAATATTGCACTTTAAAATTCTTCAAGTAAGATATCTACTGCGCAAGAAATTGATAATCTGATTTTTTTTCCGATTGTCGAGGATAACGAACGTACGAATCACGATAAGAAGGGAGCGCACAGATTGCACGTGTGTAATGCCTCCCACCAATCCAGCTCCCACTCCTCGAGTGTCCGATTACGTCGGTATAGAGAACTCTCCTTGTCCGTTAGTTTCTCTTTCGCTCGGCTGGTGTAATGATTGTTCGCCTGCATTTTACAAGAATGTATGACAGTGACCTTGCGGTGTAAGAATCGATAACACATCCCACGGTGCTATTTCGAGTGTGTAAGATAATTTAGTTCGTTCGCATTCTTTTGCCTGCTTAGGATGTATTTACAGAACGTTCTCTAGTCGAAGCACAGACGAGTTTACCACGGTAATAGATACGGCTTGTCCCGCTCTGTCTTATCTTACAGGTCTGAGAACGTCTCACTTTAGGGCGACTCTGTGCTGCTATCAGTACTAGTGCGATACGTGTAATTAATCATAAACTGATCGGATCGCTTGTATTATCGTGCTGTACTTTGATATCGGATTGCGAATGCGAATTGATGTACGATGATTTAATTAAACTCTCGAACAGTCAGTTTTACTGGATACTTATGCTTTATCTAGTCTACTTTTCGAGCTAACGAAAACAACTTCGTTTTGGTTTGCGAACGATTGAAAAATAAGACTTTCCTTTGAGAAAGCTAATTAAGTCTGATTAATTATGAAAAACAAGAAGAACGACAAGAGCTCACAAAGCAGATCCACCCGAGGTAGCCGCTTCTTGAAATCTCGTTCAATAAGATCCACCCCTTGATAAGTTCCACAAGAGGTCACTACGGTGGAAATTTTTAATAGTGCGGGTCTTCAGAGCCGACGTCCGCAAGCAGCGTCACTAACACTTAACCTCTTTTCCTGTTTAAATTATTGATCGTCCAACAGTGCTTACGGTTACCTGATCTCCGACAAGGCGAATAATGCACGACGTTTAGCACGTGCAATCGAATTATTTCTTGGGACTCGCATGATTTCTTGAGCACGTCGTCAATTGCAACAAAGAGAGCCTACAAATTCGAGATGAAAGCATCGCGCTTGTCCTTTCAGAACCCGCTTGAATTGCTGGCCTCGTGTGGAAGCTTATAATAACATTTGTATTTTCTGGCGAGTGCCATTATAGCAGTATAGCAATAGTGACGATTCAACATTACAAGAGGCTTTTATTTATGGCAAGTTACTTTCTGAAACTTAGCCAAGAATAACATATACGCCACGGGAAGTAAAATGGCAAGCTCATAGCTGGTGTTCGGCACCCTCGACTTTGCTTCAGGTGTCAATTTACGCTAGCTATAGGCTTCCAAATACCTTACCTCTCTAGATGTATAATGTACTGTTACGGATATTTCGTATAATATTGCGTTCGCGATTTTTTCCGAAAATTCACTTAATCAAATATTTAATTATCTATAAATAGCAGATTAACGTCGATATTAATCGATTAATTTATCAATACGTTATGCAAAAAAAGTTTTTATCCGGCGAAATTTTCTTATAAAAAGCTGTTTCTATGAAAAATATTTAATTAACATAAGTTCTCGAAATAATACTCAACGACTTATATAGAAATACAACTTATTGGAAATATGCGTGTTGATTGTTCTCCGTACAAACATTCTGTTCGTTAATTGCACCGTTACCGAAATAATTTTCGAAAGCGAATTGGCCAAGGTACGCGCGTGCAGCAGCTGATTTTACCCATACGAAAAGCTCGCAACACCTCCTCGCCGTTCTTCGTATGCATATTGTGCAACGCGCTGACGGTCGCCTCAGTTTCTCGCGTGAGAAAGTTTGGCCACTCGTCGGATACTCGTCGGCGCGCGAGTGTACGCCTCGCAGCCTAGCCAATATATATCAAAGCGAGAGCAGCTTTGGCTGGTCGCATCGTTAATCAGCAGTCCTTTTTAGACGCCGCACGCCACTCGCTTACGCGTCAACCGACACGACGCAAGTGATCTCGAATTAGCATTTTCATCAACGTTACGCTAGCGAAAACTCTAGCGACCACTGCTCGCGACACAGTTCTCTTGACGTAGTCGTGAGAACTGAAAAACATGTTGCAATTGCCGGGCTTTCCACTGGATTTGTAATCGTTTCATATCAAACGTACAACTAACTGAATCACAGTGCGTGATACGTAGTTGCATTTTCGTAGGTTGCGATAAGAACACCAAGTCGTCATGAATGAAGAAGCAATAATCGTTATTTATTACTACAAAGACTACCGCAAATAGCATTATTTACAGTAGTCTTTGGAAGTTCCTTTAAGCCCTCGCATTTTTTCTCGAAGTTCAGTTTTTACCCGCGCAAGGCACTATTGCACCGCAGAGGTGATCAGTACGTAGCTTGCAACTCTCGAACGATCACGCGAGCGTAGAGTCGGCTGTTTGGCATTACGAATCCCCTCAATGCATCACGAAGGAGATGAAATTGTAGACAGATCGAGTCCAAGTTCTTTCCTTGGACTTTCGACGGCCAACGCGCCAACGAGATAATTCCAAAGAAGCCCGTTTTCGCGTGTCCTCTGTTAAGCGCTGTGCCGACCTTGTGTTTCGTTCCCGGATCAGCGTGAATCGAGCTGCAGCATCGAATTCAGACTCGAGGCGGGACGTGTCGAATCCCGGTAGCTCGACGGAAGCACGCCCGTCGCGACAATTCTCGATCTACGTTCCGGGGCACCGATAAGCGGACCAGCGTCAGTCTCGCGCGATTGACACAAGAGCCGACAGCCAGTTCCGCGAGCGCGCCCTCCCCACGCAAGTAATATCGATCTCCCTTCAGCCGTCGCAGTCGGCCCGCTTTCAATCAGGCGGAATTCAGCATCCGCACTTTGGCACGGCAGCGCCTTGCCGCGCTCGACTCTCCCCTGCCGGCCCGTTTTCGCGGCTCAATTGCCTCGTGCCCGTGCATGCCAAACAGCCGGCCGCCTCGGCTGCGCGGATTGCAGTCGGATTCAATTCGTTCGTCAGCTCCGTGCTACCGCGAACGACCGCGCCGAGCGTTTCGATCGGCAGCTCGAGAAGGTTGCTCTGGTGGCTCGGAACGCACCGACGCGCGACGGCTCCGAGAAACGAGTACGTCGCAAGCGCCCTGCCGAACTTCCCGTGTCTCCTCGTAACCGAAGGCGCAAGTCGTCGACCGACGGCGGGAATTAGCCCGGAAGCATATCGTCCCAGCGGAGCAGCTCGCATTTCGCGACCCGTTGTGCCTGCGACGTACTCCCGCCGAAATTCACCCTCCGCTCCGGATGTTATTCCGGGCGCGTCCTCGGCTTCGCCTCGTTACCCCAAGACCGACGACTCGCGCGGATACGGCGTTCCTGTTGCGCCGGGGCGCATCGACACGCCCGACTGCCTCTTCTTTCGCGCCGCTTAATTGCTCTGCGCACGCTCGCTCGACCATTGCCTATATATGAATTAATGGGCTCGCGGGCCGCGCGGCGAATGCTTCATCAATAACAATGCGCGTCCGCCGCCGATGCGAATTTAATGCCGGGTCTAACGGGAATTTCCGAGGCTTTTTTACGCGCCGCGCGCATAACGCACCTTAA